GCTTTTTGAGAAAATCAAAGAAAATGAGAGCATAATAATAAAGACTAAAGCCATGACATTTGGGCACTCGTTAATTTCTTTTAAAATCAGACATAGGAAGTATATAACGAAATGGAACGAAATATAGTGTAGCATGCCTTCTGGAGGTCTCTCTTCGAATAGCAGCACTATCTGAAATCCTAAGGTTTCATTAGGTGGAGAGAATGTGTGCTCCTTACCTGGATTAGCTGAGTCTCTGTAAACAAGTGGCTTGTCAGCGTACAACATAAAGTATTCAATATGTCCCATCTCGTGGTGGACAGTGTTGAAAGACTCTTGGGTGATCTCCGTACACATCTTGATTCTGCCAAAATATAGTAAAATCCCCAAAACTTTAATATAATAAGTAATATTATATTTGACACTTTTGACTTACTTTAAGAATAAGAAGTAGAAATTTACTTTTACCTGAATTTTTACCGCAGTCCTATTTAGGTGTTTCTTTATGTGTTAGATTTACAAACCTGAAGTCGTCCTTTTTATAAAAATCCTCGGCTGATCCATGACAGTCAACAATCCTTCCATCTTTCGGCCTTTCCGTCATGGATTTGTTCCAGAAAATATCTGTCATCGGTAGCATACCTATTGACTTGAAGAAGCCCTCAGCAGACTCAAAGATTGTGTGCACTGTGTAGTTCTGGCGACATGATAAAGATGAGAAATTGTTGTTGTTGTTGTTGTTGTTGTTTTGTTGTTTGTTTGTTGTTGTTGTTGTTTTGGGGTTTTTTGGTAAGTGTTTTACGTCGATCGCAACTGCATAAGGTCATATGCGAGTGTGTCAGAGAAGAAAAGCTGCTGCAATTAATTCTAAGATTAGGAAAAGCTATAGTTGTTATTTAGTAGATTAGGAAAAGCTATTGCATTGTAGATTATGAATAATTGTTTGTAATTTGAGATTGGAAAAAGCTTTTGTTGTTGTAGATGCTTAAGGCCTCCATCGAAAGAACTTAGATTATTTTGGATGCTGGTTTCTTTGATCTTGCCAGACAGGGGCAGTCCGGGCTGAGAGGAACAGAATCTACCAACACCCAGATACAGATTCTCGACAAGAACCCCCCCCCCCCTGGCTGGAATCGAACTCATGTCTGCTGCGTGCGACAGCAAAGCGCCTGACCGCTACATCACAGACGCCATTCCGTGTAGGAAAGGGGACCCTGGGCTACAACAGCACAGACTGCCTCTGAGTTCTTGAAAGGTATTATCATTTATTATGTTATGCATTGTTCGGGGTTTAAATTCCCTTTCAATAAAAAGAAAGGCTGTTTTCGTGATCTCACAATTTAAGGTCTGTTTCTGATAATACAGAGTTGACTTTGGAGCACAGGATAAATGATTGGCTTTCTGGGTTCGAGAAGCACGATGAGCTATAGATAATTTATTACATGAGTTATGGTAGTAGATCATGATTTATCCTACGAGTGAAATTTCCAAGTTGTAATCCTTGGTCCATTTATGTGGAACAGATTACCCATGAAACTAAGACAAATAAGAACTCTTGATAGCTTCAAAAGACATCTTAAACATTTTCTGTTCCTGC